AACCAAGATTAACTTGCAAAAGCAAGATAGATGGAAGTCTTAGAAAAGTTGAAATAGCCATGACATATTATACAAATGAGTTATTCTGCTCTGTGTAACTGCCGCTCTGAACAAGACAAATGTAAAATGGCAGTTGTGCCATCTTATTTCAGAACTTAATTCTAAAGACTTTCTACCACTAGAGAACTCTGTTACTTCAAATTACAGTGATCTGAAAGCAGAGATGAGCTGCTTTTACAGCAGGAAAGACTAGATAAACAATGTAGGCGTTCATTTCTTCCTGCATAAAAAAAAAAGCTTTCAAAATACTAGCATCTATTTTGACAACATCCAAACTCAAACAGAAACATCCTGTTATTTTCTCTGTTTTCTGTTTGTTGTGAGCAACTGCCTTCTCACCAGCACCTGGAAGGAGTAAATGAGATTTGTTCCTCTGTATAGTTATAGGACGTGAGACAACAGGCCACAACTAACTCAAAGGAGATTTTGACAACAAGAAAGCAATGCCAAAGCAACACTACCTTTCCAAAAAGAAGCCAAATGAACAAGCCAGTTATCCTAGAATGCCAAATTTTATTATTACATTAATATGTTAAGAAAATAATTGTATCAAGTATTAAACACACTGCTTTTTATTACTACAATTGGAATTCTATCAAGTCAGCTAATAACAAGAAAAATATTTTGCATGTCAAGGTTAACGAAACAGTTCTATTCTTGTAGTGAACATGACCACACTGAATTGCAGCCAAAGCATTCCTGGGACTCCTGCTCAGAAGCAGAAGCCAAATCTTCCAACAGTATATAGTAGACTATGGAAGACAAAGGAACACACACACTGAAAAACAAGGATCTGTGAAAGTGAACTTTTTCAATCACAATTACCACTTCCTGTGTACCTCACACCTATATTATTGGGCAGCCATTACTATCCCCACAGAAGCCTACTTAATGCTTGTTTTTCCTCTCATGTAAGAAATGGTATCATTTAAAAAAAATAGGCAAATGTAATCCAAATGATAGGATACTCAAACACTACCAAATCATCATAAGCAATCCTGTATCAGACCATCAAATATAGGGGGTAACAACTTCCAGAAACTAACACAAAAAAATAGAACAAAACCAGAATTCCATATGTATCTCCTGGATGTTTTTTAAACTTGGGGTAGCGGCATCTTTCAGAAGCTGATGTGTATCAAGGAAGCCACAACACGGACCCTAACAGTTCTCTTGTGATCTTTGTTTGGCCTTAAGAAAAGCTGGACACTTTTGCTCCTTGTCAGCCCTGTATCTCCACACACAGCAAAACCAGCCATTCAGTACACACGTATATGTTTTATGCTTACGCATGCATGAATTGTTGCTAAATGAAATTGCTAAATTTCACAGCTTGAGACCACAAACTCAATTGCGTTTACATGCTTGGAGACTGTCTATATCATCCCTACCACACAATGTAGAAATACATGCTTAAATTAATTCTATCTTTGGCAGAAACTGTGGGGGCTCACTACATGAAATAACCATACAGAAAAGAACTGGGAATCAATAAAACTTCCTAAAAGCACAGCCATAACATTCAAATGTACACATTCTTCCAGGTAGACCTCCGGTGGCTTTTTTAATTCTCTTTCTTCAGAGAGAGAGAGAAAAAAAAAGAACTATCCTCTATTTGTTAGTCAGAAAGTATAAAAACATCACACACACTCTTGAAGCAAGAGCTGTACTTGTATGTCATTAAAGGTTTGTTAGAGGCTACCTTAAAAATTGAAGCTTACTGCCTATACTTCAGATGAACTTAAATAATATTTTCCACTAAGATCACTAACATTTTCAGGTTGATGCATAGTTGGATTCAGCCAAGTAAGCAGTTTGAATTTCTTAATATACACTCTAATCACTACTCAGAATTTTAATTGCTACAATTCTAAATTTATTAAAACAAACTAGTCTGATCAATGTGACCCGGCCATCAGAATATTGCTAGCAACCTAACTAGATAACAGGATCTGTCATCTCTTTTGTTAACATCTCTGCAAAAATGCTATTTTGGTAGCTTCCTGGAAAATGTATCAATGAATCACATGTTCATCCTTCCTGAAACACTGCCTTTCAACAGGGTGATATTCACCCCGGTCAGCGCTCTACTATATTAGATGCAAACTAACAACAGAACATTCAGATTTTCCAGCATTCTGCTTCTTAAATCATAATTTCAAATCCTCATCCCAAATTTGATGAACTGATACAGATCTAATAGAGGATGCCATCACTAAAGAGCTCTTAAGTTTCAGGTATATGCAATTTTTTTTTTTTTTAAAGTTACCTTTAGTGTTAGAAGTACAATTAAAAGAAAAAACCTTGAGGATGCATACCTTCAATACAAGAATAAGGTAAACAGCCTACTTAACTGCCCTGAAATGTATTTATACCAACTGCAAGAAAATAGACATTCAAAGCACAGGCAATGTAGACAAGAAACAGGAGGAAAAACGAACGCTGAGTTCATTTAGCCTGGTTGAAAAGCATTATGTACTAATTGTTGGAGGCACATTTCCTTTTTGTTCCTTCAATTCCTCCTTACCAGCCTTCCTCCAAACAGACAAATTGATGCCTCGCTCTATCAGTACAGAGTGCCGAACACCTTCACATCTGAGGTATCACACCAACTGTCTGCACATCTAGTCAGGCTGTATTATGTGTGAGTGGGAACTGGAAGGGAAGGGAAAAAAAGCTTCAGAATTAATGAGATCTAGCTTCCCATGCATTTGTTCTACTGTTCTCCTTCCTCATTTGTCCATCACATCAAACTCTAGGGATGTTAAGATTAGTGCTGGAAACACAAGTAAAGACAACAGATTAACTTCAATACTTTCTACATAGTATTCTTAGCCAACAGCAAAGATAAAAATCCAAATAAATGCTAATAAAATGCATACTTTTAAAATAGAAAGTATGTGAAAGCTAACCTACAATTCACCATGTCTTGTAACATTGTGTTAAGAATTATTTCATAGTATCTGATCCACATTCTCACTGACAGACAACAATAACTCTGAAACATAACAAAAAAGGATGTTTTCAACAGCTTACAGTTGAAGATTACTTTCAATAATAATAATAATAATAATACAAGGGTGCAGCACCATGCAGCATTTTTTCACTGGGTGGCCAACAGGAAAAAAGCAATTACTGCATTTTACTCAGAAGCTCAGAATGCAACGCTGTAATTAAGAAGCTGATGGAACCCAGAGTCGCCTTGCCCTAAAGTCCATACAAAACCTGAGACACAACTGATATTTCGCCAAACTTTGCCTTCTGTGAGCAGAGACGCAGCCCCCCCATATGGAGCCCGTGTGGGTAAGGACACTGTTTCCATGGAACGAACTTGGCGGCACGCTGAAGGTCACGCCACGCACAGCCTGCGGTCGCTGCCATCGCCGCAGCAAAGGTCTGCCATTCGACCGCAGTCAGACACGTATATACTGTAGGCACAAAGCTTGGCATCATACATATCGACGCTACCGCCCAAAAATAAAGCTTAGCATCACATATATCTACGTTACCACCCGAAAAGATCTCCGCCAGCCTCACCGCGAGAACGGACGAGGGCTGCCGCTTGCCTCCCGCTCGAAACAGCGCAGCCCACCCGCAGCCACAGGCCCGCAGCCGGGGCCAGGCCATGCCACGGTCAGCTCTCGCGCTTCTCGACACGCACCCGCTGCATCTCAGCAGCTTGTACTGAGAACTCACAGTGCGCCCATAAGCGGCACAGACACCCCAAATCAGCGCCAAGCAGCGCCTTACCCGCGCTCCCTCCAGAGCTCCGCCTCCCCGCCACCGCCCTGCGCCCGCAGCTGACGGGCAGCCGCTCGCCGTGCAATCAGTCGGCGACCGAGGAAGCGCGACGATGACTTCCGCCCGGCCGTCGCGGAACTACAGGCCCCGGCACGCCTCGCGGTGCGGCCGGGCCACCCGCCGCCAGGGGCCGGCTCGCGGCACACCGGGTCGCTCGTTGCCGAGGCCCCGCCAACCCTCGCAGCTCCGCAGGGTTCCGGGCTTGCGGCGCCGGGTACGAGCGGGCGCTTCCTCACGTCCGTGGGGCTTCCCAGCCGCACTGGGGACCGAGAGGCTCCGAGCCGGCCGCGCCTTTGGAATTGGAGTCGGGGAGCCTGGCGGGCCGGGAGCGGGGTGCGGGGTAGCGCTGTGCCGGCCGCCGCGGGGCTGAGGGAGGCGGGGCGGCTGGGCGCCGCGGGGGAAAGGTGCGAGATGAAGGGAGCTGAGCTAAGGGAGGCTGGAAGCGCTTTTCGCGTTCCGCTCCTTTTGTCGAGGACTTCGAGTCGGTATCTGTCAGAGATCGCTCAACTCCAACCTCTTCAGCCACTCAAACCCACAAGTAAGAGCTGCAGCCCCCCGTCAGCAGAACAGCAGTAACATTGGTGGTACCTGGGCTTTAGGCCTCCACAACTCACGTCTTTCTGGAAATAGATGGAACTTACATCCTAAGCTTCAGCTGAGCTGTGATGATGGTCAGCTCAGCTGTGAGCCGCTGTCACAACCTGCAGTAGAAAAAAAGGCTTAGGTTAGGGACCCAAAGCCATAATGAAAATGGGCATATTAAACAGTGGAATTAAAAAAAAAAAATTAAGAAACAACATTATTAGAACAAATGAGGATTAGGGACACCTCTGCTGCCTGATGATACTCCTGCACAGCTCTGTACAAGTTCTCCGAGGATTTCACCTTAGCATACCCGAGTTACTAAGACATCTTTGCCTTGCCTTTTGTGGCTTACTGTCTCAAGCAACAGAGTAACTAAATTTGTATAATGAAACAAGGTTTCTTTTTCCAGGTATAACAAGGATACTGTAGCGCTGAACTGGCCAATTCAACTGGTCTTGAGGTATCTGCATTTTTTTCCTACCCTACCACAGACTTCTTTGGTGAAGCGGGTAAGTCAAGCAATTACCTCTTAACAGAGCCAAATACCTACTAAGGATCTCTCCATTTTTCATATTTGAAAAGGAATCGCACATATCTTCAAGCATTTTGTTTAGAGTAAGAATAGTAAGGACTACTGGCGGCTTAGTTATTTGGCAGGAGATGGTTGGTTGGTGCTTGTTCACTTTTCAGTGTTGCCTAGATTAAAGAGTATTCATAATATTCATGAAGGATATAATCAAGCTTAGGTCCCTGACTTATAAAATTATTGGGTTTGGATGTAGTAGTTCACCTTTTGAAGTTAACTTTCAAGCAATAATTACATGTTAACATGGAACAACCCCCAGCAATTGACTTCATGTCAGCTGTCAAGCAGGATTGATTCAACACAGTAGAAGACTTCCCTGGGAATCATCAGGTACTTAAAGTAAGTGAGGTAGTCCCACTGTATGCTAGAAGCTGCAATGTGCTTATTACACATAACCATCTCTCTTTGTCCTCTCCGTGTAAGCTTTCAGCGTGTTGGATGGAAAATCTGCTGGAAAACTTGTAGTGATTCTGATCTGTGAGGGAGTTTGAGTGCTGATTCTGTGATCAGTGATTTGATTTTTCTTATTCAAGTTCCCTACAATAGTATTTCTTCTTTCAGTTGTGAAATGTGAAGTGCAATAGCTTCTGGCTGGGTTTGTGAGCTAGTTCAGCTGTGCTTCTTTAAAATAAGCTGTTTTTTTTTTTCTCTTTCTTATGAACTGCTAATGATACACAAATCTATTTCTGTTTTATTTTCTGCACTTATGCAGTTGACTTGCAGTTAAATTGTTTGTTCAGAAATGGTAATAAGATGTCTAAAGTCATGAATTAAAAAGGAAATCTTTAAGTTGGAATATACGTGGCATATCGTTGGTTATGGAGTTTGACATCCATAGGCTGCTTAAAGGCTTAATAGAAAAGCAGGCCTTCCCAGCTCTGTAGAAGTTCTAGTGTGACATAACTGAGAGGAATCCCTCAGTGTCCTCATTTATGAAAAGACTTTTATCGTGGGTTCATGCACAATGTGACATTGCTACTTTAATTGTTCTAGGATCAATGGGTGTATATGACTTTTCACCTCATCTAAAGTGGTTCCATGTCTTGTTTGGTAAGTTTGTATTTGGGAACCCTCAATGGTTGCAACCTTGTTAGCCAGCGACACCTTAAGTTAAACAGCCTGGTGAAATGTTTTGCTTAGGGGGATTTCCACAGTTCTGAGATATTGAAACTTTCTTGTATCAACTTTTGATGCAGGCTGTTTAGTTCCCAGCCTACCATATGCTCTATACTGTTTTTTAACCTCTTGCATGTCTGACTTGTAGCTGAAAAATTTCTGAACTACAGCTTATTTGGGTTACTTCTGTTATTTTTCCACTGCCTTGTTTAATAAATTGCAGCCAGACCACTAATAACTCACTTGTTTCTTTTCTCAAGGACTGTTCCTGTATTCTACGTACACCAGTTGAGTCAATCAGACCAGAAAAGCAATCTCAGAGCAGCAGCCATGAATCCCTGGTAAGAAAAAAAAAAAAAAACAACTAATAATAATAAAAAAGCTTTAACTGACAAAGTTCAGTATGAAGTTGCACATGTGGAAAAAAAGAGTGATCTCATTAGCGAGCACTTAATAAAAATACTAAGAGGAAAAATAACTGGAGTACTCTGGGGCTTCCACTTCAGAAGATGACTGCTATTGACTAAGTATTACTCATAATCTTTTACTAGTTTAAAAACAAAACAAAAAACCCAGTAGCTTATTTGTGCAAGTCTCGGTGTAGTAAATCTCAAGCACCAGCTTGAATATTCCGACTTCAGTACTTGATTTTAGCATTCCAGTTGATGTTATTTACGCATTAATTTTAAACATAAATGCACATAGTATTTCTGAGAACTATGTTTTTCTCCACCATTAGGCTGATTCTGAGCTAGCCTGGATTCCCCCATCTAAAGGAGGGAATGAAACAATATTTTGTTCCTCCAACGTCTCTCATTATGAACTCCAGGTGGAAATAGGTAACACAATAGCTTAAAATAATTCTTGTTCTTGAAGATGCATTCTCTCTGTAGCTATTGCTAACCGCAATAAATATCAAGTTTGGAAAACGTATTATCAGCTGACTAAAACTATTCTTGTTTCTACTGCCCTTATTCTTGAGAAAAATATAGATCGTCTTGTTTCAGTTAGCACTTGCTTTAAAACATAAGACAAATTAACAAATTTTTCTTTTGGTATTTGTGCATTTGGATGCCATTGCCTAAAATCTGTGGCATGCAAACAATAAATACAACGCTAAGTAACATCATAGCTTGTCATTTGGCTAGTTGATTTGATTGTCTTAATGATGACTGCACTGAATCCCACTGTGCAAGCTTAAAATCATAGAGTTATTTGATTTGGAAAGGACCTTTAAAGGTCACTTAGTCCATATTCACTGCAATGATCAGGGACACCTACACCAGGTTGCTCAGAGCCCCATCCAGCCTGACCTTGAATGCCTCCAAGGATGGAGCATCCACCACCTCTCTGGGCAACCTGTGCTACTGCCTCACCACCCCTACTTTAAAAAAAACTTCTAATGTTCAATCAAAATCTCCCCTTTTTAAGCTTGAAACCATTTCCCCTTTTCCATCACAACAGACCTGCTGAAGAGTCTGTCCCCTCCTTCTTGTAGCCCCCCTTTAGATATTGAAAGGCTGCTATCGAGTATCCCTGGAGTATTCTCTTCTCCAGGCAGAAGTGCAGCTCTTGCTCCTCTTGTAGGGGAGGTGTTCCATCACTTGGACTATTTTTGTGGCCCCCCTCTGGATGCTCTCTAACAGGTCCACGTCTCTCCTGCTTATTCTAATGCTTGTGTTTAAAGGGCTGTTAATGTAGATGCATTACTGATGCTGACAAATATTTAAATGTTCTTTGTTCTAAAGACATTCAAAAATTCTAAAAACAGCAGAATCAAGATCTAATTTGTGTATGTATTTTGCCCCAACTACTTAAGATGTTGGTGTGCTTAAAGAAAATATCATGCTGCTATCCACTACAATTCAGAACTGTAAAGTTCTTTAACTACAAAGAAAATTATGTGGTGATTTACTACATTTTCTAATATTAAGGTATCAACTTTTGGTTTCAGGAAGGAGATTCAACAACTTAACTTCAGTCTACCTTGCACGGCATACCCCTACAGGCACACAAGTTGCCATAAGGATCACAGACCTAGAAAGCTGCTCAGAAGAGCATTTGAAAGCCTTACAGGTAAAGCAACAGCACTTCTGAAGCCACTTTTGAACATGTAAAGGTTTAGTAAACCAATGCAGCCTTCATGCTTTTACTGGGCAGTTGAATTCAAATTTTCTCTTCAAAGGAATAGAAAAGGCATGTGCAAGTTTGAAAGATTGCTTTCTGAAGAAACCATTGACAAATGGTTTAGAAATTATCATGGAACTTTACAATTCTTCCTTTGAAACACATTTTGTGCTCTGCATTTAACAGCAAAACTTACGACTGTGAACAAACTAGACTTCAGAAAAATGCAATCACATCCAAGCTATTTGCATATCTATTGCAGCTATGCTCATCATATGCAATTTAGAATAAATACACTGAACAGTTTTTTTTTCTACTGATTATTGACAATTAATGCTTTTAGTAAGACAGTTGTTTTATGATTAATACATCCATTTTCATTTAATTCCATAGAATGAGGTGGTTTTATCCCACTTTTTCCAGCATCCCAACATAATGACACTTTGGACAGTGTTTACAGCTGGTAGTTGGCTTTGGGTCATTTCTCCATTCATGGCCTATGGTAAGAACTGTTAACTACTATTTTGGAGTAAGCAAAAGGACTGATGAAATTTGGGCTATGCAGTTGAGAAGTGTTTTTTTCTGTAAGAAACTCCTCATAAAGAAGGAAAGGGGAGGAAAAAAAAAAGGGGGGGGGGGGAGGGGAAGAGAGAAGAAAAAAAAACCCTAACAGACACACTTTCCCAAAGCACTTGTTTAGATAAGTCTTCTGTATATCACCTTCCTCCCCAGAAAAGATTGACATTTGAACTGCATTAAATTTCACTTAGTCCTAACCCCCACAAAGTACTGAGTAATAAGTGGGAGATGCATTTGATCTTACAGAATAGAAAACTTGTTGGTTTCAGTGCAGGTTTGGCATAGGCTTTCAGTTTGCAAGCATGACATGAGTGCAATCCTCATGATTGATGGATGCTTCAGTTGCATCCGTTAAGTGTTCCTGACGTACCATAGTCAATATAAAGGTGAGAATATCACTCTTGGCAAATGCATACCACAAAAGAGGCATAGAAACAACTTCAAGGTGGCTTGTTAGGTTTAGGGTATTTTTTCCCCGCTGCTTCCAGGTTCTGCTAGACACCTGCTGAAGACTTACTTTCCTGAAGGAATGAGTGAAGCTTTGATAGGGAACATCCTGTTTGGTGCAATCAGAGGATTAAATTACATGCACCAGAATGGCTACATTCACAGGTAGGACATCAGTGCCATAGGTAAGAATCAGATTACAGGATCTACTTGATTAGGAATTTAGTTTCGCTACAAAACCCATACTCGGTTCAACTGTCATCTTCTTTCCTTTTTCCATATATTTCTTATGGCAGATGCAGACAGTACAGGCTGTTTCATTTTGTTAGTTTGTTTTTGAATAATACAGCAGGATAAATAAATCCTTCCTTACTTTACCCTCTTTGCAGGGAAGGAAAGACGACCCTTCTCTGATGTCTGGCAGTCAGTTTTTCTTGCTAACCATCTCTCAGGGTGTATTCAAAAGACAGCTCATGCTAAGTGAGCTTATGAAAATAATCTGTTAAACAAAACTGCATGTAAACTCCCCAATATAAATTAATGAAAGATTTTCATATTTCTATTTTAATAGTGCTTTGAGTAATTTGTCTAACTAAAATTTACCACTTTTTGTTACAGGAATATTAAAGCTAGCCACATTCTGATTTCAGGGGATGGACTGGTTTCTCTCTCTGGCTTAAACAACCTCTACAGTTTAGTTAACAATGGACAAAAGTCAAAGGTGGTGTATGACTTTCCTCAGTTTAGTACATCTGTACTTCCTTGGCTGAGCCCTGAGCTACTGAGACAGGTCAGTTAAAATACACTTCACTCTTCTTATTCCAAGTTAACATGAAGTACTCAACTTCCATCTTACATCTGCTTGTACAAGTGCAATAGAAGCTGTTGAACTGCAACTTAAAAGTTTGTGATTCTCCTAAAGAGAACAGGTTTTACATCTGTTGGCAAGGTGGTACTTACAACTGAATCTGCCTGATTCTCTTCCTGAAAACTAGAGCAGACCCTGTCTTCAGTGCAACATCACAAAAAAAAGCCTGTTTCAAGTTGTTAATTGCCTCAATCCCGATTAGATTACAGAATTTTAGAATTGTGTCTTGACACTGGTATTTGTGTTTCTGTTTGCACCCATCAATGGCTTCTGTGGTCCAGAACAGTTTTATTTCTCCCACAGGATTTGTGTGGGTATAATATGAAGTCTGACATCTACAGTGTGGGAATAACAGCATGTGAATTAGCCAATGGACATGTTCCATTTCAAGATATGCCTCGCACCCAGGTATGATGCTAACCTCCATTTCTACTTCAAAGGACACAGATTATTTTTTTTTCTGTTTTTACATAAAGCATTACTGAGATAAAGCAGTGCTTTCACTGATGAAATAGTGGCCACTTTTAGTTATTTCAAACATGCATGTTTCTTGCTAGAGTAAATAATCCTTTCTCATAGACTCACAGCATAGCCTGAATAGGTCTGTGGGTGGTGCACTTGTAGAACTGCTCTTCCTTTCTACTAGATGCTGCTGCAGAAGCTGAAAGGTCCCACATACTATCCCTGGGATATAAATGCCTTCCCCCATGGGGAATCCAGAATGAAGAATTCCCAATCAGGCGTTGATTCTGGAATTAGTGAGAGTCTGACACGCACAATGACGAGCGAAAGACTACAAAGTCCTGTTTCCAAAACATTTTCCCCTGCATTCTACAACTTGGTAGAACTTTGCTTGCAACAGGACCCTGAGAAAAGGTAACGCTCTGGTGAAAACTAATTTTGTGTCATTTTAGTCTTAGACCAGGTCTAGTAGGGCTTAGGATACAGCAATTAGTTGAATACTGTTACAATCAGAATTTCAGACCAGAGTTTCTACACAAAACCCTACACTTACCTTTGGTCTTGTTATTTAAAAACTGTGTTATCTGACAAAGGAATCATGCTTTTAAAGTTTTGTTCGACTCCATTTAGGCCTGATTTTCTTACAGTATGAATCTGTCTTGTATTGCAGTTAGACAAGTAAAATCAATTTTAAACATGCAGTTTGTTCAAGAAACAATGGCAAACTTAAGTATATGTTTTCAGTATGATACCTCTTCTGACTGAGACAAAATCCCTTGTTAAGCAGAAAAGTAAAAATAAAATCTTTAAAAGTAATCTCATCTCTTTAGTAGCACCCTCGTTACAAATTGTGACACAGAACATAGGAATCCTATGCTGCCTTTCTCATGATTCACATTTGATCACATGCATCAATAACGACACACCTTAAACTGCTTTGTCAGACTAGGCCCTTTCCCAAGACGACTAATTTAACTTTGCAAAATATAATCATATTGTTCATTTTACAATGCAGGCCATCAGCAAGCAGTTTGCTTTCTCATACGTTCTTCAAACAGGTGAGTTCACTAAATTTTTATTAAATGACACAGTTATCAAAAATAATCAAAATAAGTCCTAAAATATTGGAGTGAATTACAAAATATTTAGGTCAGCTGGAAGCAAAACCATCCTGTAACAGCTCATCTGCTTCAGACAACTTTTGTAAAAAGGCACATCATTAGAATAATCTATTTTCCCTTTGATAATGTTGCTATAACTTAGGTCAGCCTAACTGATGAGAAAATTGGTAAATAATCAGGATTTCAAGCAGAAGAATTCCATAGCTAATTCATAAAAGATTAATTCAACTTTCTGTAGAGTGAGGAAAGATAAACCTCTTACCCTGTTTTCAATACTGTAACATGCAAGAAGTTGGCTCTCCGACTTTTACGCGTTTTTAATTAAGTCAGGCACGAGTTCGTACAGATTTTTTTGCAGGCCTCTTTTGATTAACTTTTCTTCTTCATAGGTAAAAGAACAAACACAGAACTCGCTCCTGTCCCTATTACCACCCCCTGTTCAAAACAACAGATCAGAGTTCTTGACGCTGCCCTCGGCAGCAGCTGAGGCTGAACCTGGACGTATTGCTGCAACTCAACATGATACAGCCTGGGAATTCTAAGTAGATACCAAACGATCATACCTCTCTTGTGCTTCAAAGAAGGAAAATGTGATTTCTACTTGCTGCTTTAGTTTGTATGGTTAAAATACGGTTAGACACTGTGCACTTGAAAATGCAGTTAAAGTGGCCATATTCCATTAACTTCATCATATGTTTGCATCAGGAAGTGCAGTATGCCTCATTTTGTCAGATCTCAAGCAAAACTGCATGTAGGAGATAAGAATTCAATTGTTCTCCTCTTTTGAAATACTTAATGTGAGGGTTCCTGCTGTATCTTTACTTTTTACTGCACTTTTTAAGCTCATATTACTGCAGTCCAAGTGCCTTTCTGAATTCAGGCTTTGTCTTTTGTCTACAGCTTTTCTTCAGTAATCTATTTATCTTTCATTGTTGCCTAAATTATCTTAGTGAAGAGTAATGGTCCATTTTCAAGCCTAAATTTGAAACTGCAGAAATGAATTTCTTATACAAATCGTGTTTCTTTTTCCTGCCTCGCAGAAGGTGTGTTGGCCAGTTGACATGCTGTCAGTGTTTGCCCTGAATTAGCTAGCAAGACTTTCCTGCAGTTTCAATACTGCATGTTGACCAAAGAAGCTAGTTGAAAACGCTGTTGCATTTTTCTGCATCCTTAATACAGATCTGTGCTTTTGCATCTTCATTTAGTCTTGCATCATCTTAACTAGCAATTTGAGAACCTCCGATAATGTAAAGGAAGTCTTAAGTTATAACACATATAGGTTAATTTTGAAGACTTGTTAAATGATCTGAAGTCACTGTATGTGTTTTTGTTTATACTGTGTACCAAGAATTATCTGGACCTAATATTGTTTTCTCAAAAGAAGTTACAAGACACATTAAGCTTCATCCGTGTTACTGCTTGCAAACATCTTCTGCAGTCAGATTCCCATGATTCAACTCAGAGCACAAATTCACAAGAATCTGAGAGGTTTCATTGTCTCTTCCCTGAGGAAAAACTGCCCTTGTGCCCACAAAAATCACTAACTTCTCATCTCCCACACTACACCAAGCAACTCAAGCTGAACAAAAGCAGCATTATTTATTTATATTTTTTAAATTAAAACTGCAACCTCATCATGTTTTAGAAAAAGCTGTGTCCCAAGCCATTACTACTTGCTGACATAGGTTCTAACAATAGTGAAAATGTATAAATAGTGAATGGATACATTTCAGTTTTTCAACACACAGAAATTCCACTGTGAAGTGCTCAAATCTGACATAGCTGGGCCTATGTGTAACCAGCCCTGCAAATGCTTCTGCTTTGCCAGCAGCTTCTCTTCAAAGTCTTGAATGCACTGGAAGGCACAAACAATTCTAAACAATCACACTGAAATATTAACAAAATACTTGACACTACTCGTTATGCTGTGAAGGGAACTCATAGTTCAGAACATAATAGGTACAACTGAGCTTAAGAGCCTCTCAATAAACTTACCCTGTCTGCCTCCATATATTTCTATAATTCTTGTACTCCTGTTTTCACCACAATTCAATCATACTAACAGCCAATTCAATCATACTAACAGCTTCTTGTTACTGCAAGAAATGTTTCAGATTTACGTCAGTCATCAGTTAAGAAAATAGTTGTTAAACCACTAAGTTACTCTTGTTAATCATACCAATATTAGCTTGTGGCCTCTTCAGAGAAGACATTAGACTCACATAAACCCCACAGGGTTCTTTATCCCTAACCACTGCAAATCTTGATTGTTTTAAAATAAACTATGTAGCACTTACAAGTATTTTTGTGTAATTGTACACATAAGCCCCAAGTCAAGTAAGTGAAAATGGATATTTTGCACATACTTAAATTGGAGATGTCTAAACGAACATTAGTTCACTTTTGTTTGTTTCAAGAAAGCCTGATGCCAAACATCTCAGGCAGCTGAAGTGCTAGGTTTGCAAGCTTCACTTGAAATAACAGCACTCTACACTCTCTGTAACAATGAACCTGAATACTCATAGCAAAGTGAAGTAAAGCATAGACTGACTTAAACAGACAAATATTCCAGTCTCTGGATTAAGTTTACAGAGATTTTTTGCAGTTCTGCTCATTAACTGTGATACTTTCTTCTAAGAAATAACATAAAATGTGTTAACACAAACATGCGTTAATGCATCAGTTAACACAGTTGTATAATCAATGAATATTAAGGTTATAATTACAAAATAAACAAGAGTTAGGCAAAGCAGATTATAATAACAAAAAGAGAACAGATTGAAAGCTTACCCATATCCTGGGCTCACTTACAAAACTCCAGCAGAGTGGATCTCCAGAAGAGATCCTTCCCCTCTGGTAGCCAGCTCTTAAATGGGTCTAGGAGGGGTGGAGCATGACTTCACCTCTTCCAGCAGCACAGGTGAATTGCCTTCACCTGTGCTCCTGTGGCTGACTCATGGCTCGCCTCAGGTGATCAATCAGATGTTCAGGCCGTGATTCAGCAGTTCCCATACAACAGCAAATGTGTAACCATCATACTGTTGAACTAGTCACGGCTGCATGGCACTGAAAACAAGATACACTGAAAATTAGATACAGTGCTGTGAAGAAGTTTTTGCATACAATTTGTATTTTCAAAATCTGACATAAGTGATCTGCATTGATAAATGCAGGTTGACGGACTTCCTATTCCAAACTGACATGCTTCCAAGCACAATAAAGCTCTAATTTCTCAGAACATCCATGTATTAACCCTTACTCATACCAATTACATGTTATTAGCATATGAACTAGTGCTGAAGTCAGACTTAAAATTTTCAAAGAATCTCGCATGTAAGCTCAATGGGAGACATTGTAAGAATTTTCATACATTTACAAAATGTTCTCATGCCCTATGAAACAGAAATTAATAGATGGATTGCTTCTGCAATTTTGACATCTGTAGAAATAGAAGATCACAAGTGGTCTGGGTTAGCTTTTTTGTTGTTGGTTTTCTTTTTCTTTCTTTTCCTCTTTTTTTTTTTTTTTTGCTGCCATCTTTCTCTTATTTAGCATTTAACACTATGTAATGTAATTAAAAACTTGTCACAAAAGAAAACTTCTGTTATATATCATCCTTAATATAACCATGTTATTATGTTTACTACTGTCTTGGACTAATGACAGATGCAGCAGCTTGTGAATGTCTGAATGGATGAACATAGGATAAAAATGTGATTTATTCACAATAAACTTGATTTTCTATATAAAGTACGTCAATAAGTATCCATTGGAGAAATGATTGTTTCTTCCAACTGATATCAATGAACAAAAGCAAGCATTACCAAAAAATTACCTAGTTTTACCTTACATCTCTCTTTTCCCTACCCCCTTTTTCTACTCAAAAGTGATGTAAGCAGTTTTTAGCCTGCGAAATCATGGAAAAATGTTTAAAAAAGACTGTTCTCAATGTGTCTGACAAGAGGGAGGTACCAAAAGTAGGTGACTTATGTGCCCTGTCTTTAATGCTAGCAAGTAGTTCTGCTAAAGTACATTAGGTTGTCTAATAAACCACTAAAACACCTAAGCTAGCTGTAATGACTTGTCCCAATGATGGTCTTCTCTGACTGATGAAGAAATACTATAATTCAGAGATCCTGCACAACACATCCTGTGAGACTAATGTCCAAAGAACAGGAATATGAACCACACTGCAAAAATCAATTTAGTTGGTGCAACAGTGCAGCAGAGACTTAACGACTTAGAAAAGAAAGCACTGAAAAAGAGGTCTACTAATATGTAGCAGAATAACTTTTGGTAATCAAAATAATTAAATCTGTCCAGAAACTCAAGATTCGATGAAGGAATAAATATTAGATTTAAACTGGTTGCTATGGAAACCACCATGATTCCCAAAAGCAAGCAACTGATCTTACTCCGCAAACCAGTTACTTAAACATGCTAGTTATCAAAAAGCCCCACAAATTTCTGCAAAATGCAAATTACACAAATTAGCTGCAATTGTATTTGGCTTACTTTTCATTAAAGTTTTGCATACCATTGCTTAATGCAGAGTTTCATGTTATTACATCATTTAGCTGGATTTTAAGATTGTCTTGAGGAAATTATATAAAAGAGGCTTTAGATTGTTTCCAAAACTCTCGCTGTAAGAGTATATGAGCAGTTCTGGCTGAAATGTACTTTATTGCTGGTTTCTGCTGGTGATGATCTTGCCCTGCCCTGGGCACCAATGCCTCCACATCCATCAGTGGTCTGGCTCTGGCCTCTAGTGATAGATTTTATGAACACATTCCTTGCATCAACTTCGTTCTGAAAGTCTTTGCAATGAGAACTTTTATAAGCTTTTTAAGCGCGTCCCTCAGGCCACTAAACCGCCACAACTCCCTCCATTTTCTGCAACCACTTGCAGACACGCCTCTAAGCCAAACCCACCCGGGCCCAACCCGCTCGTCTCCCCGGCTCCTCCCCTTCCGTAGCACCGCCTGTACCTCAGAAGCCTACACGCTTCTTTGGCTCGGCCCCTTCGTGAGACTCCAGCGCCGATTGCCCGGAGGAGCAAGGAAAGGCGGTACTGAAGTGGCCGCACCGCCTCCTTTAGGCAGAGCCCAAAATGGCGGCCGTGCAGTTGCACCGGCCGTTAGGCGCGCGCAGGGCGCCTCCTGTTGGCGGGAAGGCGTGTTGGCGGCGGGCCGCGGCTCCGCGTTTCGTCCCGTCGAGCATCCCACGGAGCTTTGCTGCAAAGACGCCGAGCAGCACTTCATCACAGAATCAGCTTGTATACAGTAACAGAACGTTAGCGTTGAGAAAGAAACAACTTAGACTGATTTATTTTAAACAAAGTAAGCTTTTGGAAACAGTACAAAGTAGTACAAGCTGATACTCATTCTGACCACTTCCTCACTTGTTTCAGATACTTAAAAACAAAAAATTGGCACCAACTTCTCTGCAATTTTTTCAACACAAAATACCGCATTGAAAACAATGGTAATGGAAATGCACAAAGGCATTTCAATTAAGGCTTCTACATATACTGCACGTTCTGCAATTAAACATCTATTCTGTAAACTTTAAGATGTTCTAAAGTTTTCCAAGTAACTAAGTGCACACACACATAAAAAGCAGCTAAATTCCACTGTGAGGCTCAACAGAATGAAAACTACCTTGTAAAAGAGGTAATAAGCCATGAAATTGTTTATCTAACTGTGATTTTAAATGGCAAACCTCAAACCTCTTTCATTCATCTAGGTTATACTCAGGTCCTCCAAAAAAGGTACAAACTAGGAAGGCAAGTCTGGCTTGAACTACTGATGCCATTAATTAAGTCAAAAAATCACTGCTCAACCATCTCACAATGAGAGCAAAATCTGGCTCCTGGCTAGCATTGCTTTGTTTGTGGGATACTTAGAAGGCCAATTCCTAGGAATAATTTCAGAAATGAAATCAAGCAGTGACGTTCCTCATGTTTCTCTATACTGATTGGATGCCTTCACACTGTTGTGTCAGAGCTCCATACCTTATGAGAGAAGTTATACTTTTTATATATATGCCAAGATAACAGAAGCACGAAATAGCAAATAGAATCCATTACTAATCTCATCTTCAGGAGCTCAGCAATTCTGTAAACCAAACACACGATGCTTGAAGAATCTGTGATGTGCATTTCCCACTTTGCAAGGAAATTACTGTGTAGAAACCTATGTGGGAACACTAAGTAGTGACCTCATCTCTCATCTCCTACAGCAAATCACAAGGACCTCCGAAGTAACACTGATGGGGAGCAGCATCCTGAATCTCTTTGTTATAATGTACAATGCAGCACCAGCTGTAATCGAGCTCCACAGTATTACAAGAATACATACACTTCACAATAATTGAAAAAAGGTTAAGCAGTTCCTTCCCACAAACAAGTGAATGCCCTAAAATAGAGCCAGCAGTTACAGAAAATGTTTCAATTCCAGTAGAACTTTCTTTTTTCTCCCCTCTCTAGAATTACATAATTACTTAAATTTGCTAAATAAGCACACTAGAACTCAAGTTCTTGACAGAGCAGAAGCTGTCCTAGTTATTCATGTTCCCATTCTTGTTTTAAAGCAACTTAGGCAACAGTGTAGAAACTTACTGGCTCTTTCACATCTCCCTTCCACTCATTCATCTAGCTAAACTCACCACTACTTTTATAAAACACAGTAGCCTCCAGGGAATTTCGACACTGTACAGCTTTTAAAACCACCCTCAGACACATTAAATAAAATAATGCAAAACTCAATACATATTAAATAAAATTCAAATCTAGTCTTGTGTAATACTTGCATGAGAAATCTATTTCAGACTAGCTTTGCCTACGTCTGCTAAGGAGATAGTTTTATCCTGCAAGACATCTGCATTTATTCACTTAAACTGCTTTCTTCCTAAGATTTGTTTTCATCTCTCATCTCTATGGAATATCTTAGAAAAAAGATATACCTCAACTGCTAGCAGCGTCAGTAACGAAACACAGATTGATGATGAC